TATTTTGCTGGCAAATTTTATACTATATGTATATAAATTGAAATTCCACAAAAGATTTATCTAAATTATAAATTATTTTTAAATCCACTGGTCCTGAATTAATTGATTGTATCTATTTAACCGAAAAAGACACGTAAAAATTGTCGACTCGTTCAAATATTTGTCATTTTTCGTTTTTAGGGAAATTCGTATTTAAAAAAAAAAAGTTATTTCAGTTGATGTCACAAATATAATCCCTCTGTGATAGATATTTTACTTGGAAATTAATTTTTTATGAAATATTTCAATCATCATTTTTATTAATAATATTTATTTTAATAAAAAATGAATAAAATAAATTTTTTTATCAGTAATATTTCTTTCAATAATATTTTTAGCAATAATATTTCAATGAATAATATTTTTATCAAGAAAATGTTCATCAATAAAATTCAAAAAAATAGAATAAAAATATTTCAAACGAAAGTAAATTTTTCCCCGACTAATTGAAATATATTTTTCTTTCTCCATCCTTCTAATTTTCTTTTATATTTTTTCCCATTTTTTCCAAACCAAATTGGCAAGTACTCAGTAAAATTGATAATATATGAGAATTTTGAGAGCGTATAAATTAATTTCGAATCACCATTTTCAGTTTTTATTATAATAATAATAAAACTCGTAAAATCGAGATATTATTTTTAGTGTCAATTATCTCGTCATTTCTTAAGTGTAAAATTTCGTGAATTTTAGTATAGCGTTCAAAGAATTTTCAAAATGGGTTATAATATAATAATTATTATTATTATATAATTTGATACCGCGAAAATTTTATTTGACAGAAGATCTTAATTTAAAGACTCTTAACATTTATGGGGATCTTTTAACGACTATATAGAAAATAATGCCGCACGTATTATAGTCTAAAGAATCTAATTAGAAAATTATATAAGCCTTTTGGTATTTAATTACTCGCGCGGGAAAAGTAACTTCTATATTTAAGCGTAAAGAATTTGTCATTAGATCACGTTTTCGACTTAACTTTATTTAATGCAACATTAAGTTTAGTTAAACAAATGACTTGCATAGAAAATGAGATATTTATTTATTTATTATACATTAGTTTTTATTTTTATTCCATTTTTTCGATTTAAAAAAAAAATGTTAAAAGTTTTAAATATTAAATCTATTGTGAAAATATTAAATATTAAAATATTAAATTTTTCAGTAGTCGAATAAAAACAGTTTCTACATTGTTCGAAATAATTTATTGCCAGTGAGATAGAATTAACAGAAAATAATGACAAATTCCTAGAATTTACGTTGTTCCCTAAGTTCCATTTTGAATAATTAATTTTTTGACGTTAAAAGCAAAAAATGTGTAAAATATGGATAAATAAAAATTTTGAGTACAGAAAAGTTACAATTAAATTTTTCTAAATAGAAAAAGAATAAAATTGAGGCATAAAAGTTTCAAAGAAAAAGTTCCAGGGAAAAAGATTAAAGATTGAAAAATTACACTAAACTTTTTTGAAATAGAAAAACAATTAAAATCAGAGTATTTTTTAAATAGAAGAAAATTAAAATGATAAAGATTTTTAAAAAGAAAAAGATTAAATTGCGAAAAATTTTGAGGTATAAAAAAATTTAAATTATGGGAATTTTCTAATAGAAAAATATTTTTAAAAAAATTTTTTTTTTATTAAATAAGACAGTAAATAAAAAGAAAATTTTCTAATTAAAAAAAATAAATAAATAAAAACTTAATAAACTTGACATCAACAAAAATTTTTAACTTTCAACTCTGTTTTTACTTTTTAATTTTTGAATTTACTTCAACGAATTATTGCATAAAGATTATTTTTAAAATTGGGATAAATTTTTGAAAAAAGACAAAAAAATTCAAAATTTTCTCTTTATTTTTACTACTTTTTAGAGTAAAAATCAAATTTTTGAAATTTTTAAGCAATGTTTCTCTATTTATTTATTTACTGCGATAAAAATTTGAGAACCGCTTTCCATGACAAAGCAACACTTATTAAAATTTATACTTATTTTTATTTGAAAAATTCCAATATCTCTGACGTTTAGCGTTCAGATTCCAAAAAGTTTTTTTCTTTAACGTACAAAGAATTTTTTTTTTAAATTTAGAGAAAAATGCAAACAGCAGACGAATGAAATTTTTACAGGGTATATTAAAAAAGAAGAAAAAACAAAAACAGAAAAACAAAAGAGAAAAAGATGAAAAAGAGGAAGAGAAGAAGGAAAGTGAAAAAGGAAAGAGAAAAAGTGAAAGCGATAAAATGAAATAACTGAAAAAAGAAAAGAAAATCAAAGAGGAGAAAAAAGAAAAAGGAGAAAAATTAAAGAAAAGAAGGCAAAGAAGCAAAACAAGAAAAAAATAATTAAATGGAAAAAAAAGAAAAATTGAAAGAAAAGGAAAAAGAAAAAAAAGAAAAAAAAGAAAAAATAAAAAGGAAGGGTAAAAATAAAGAAAAGAGAGCCAAAAAGAAGAAGAAAGGAGAATAAGGAGAAATAATAAAGAAACGTAAGAAAAGAAGGCAAAGAAAGAAATAATAAAGTGAAGGGAAAAACAAAAAGAAAGAAATAAATAAAAGAAGGAAAAAAGAAAGGCGAGAAAAATATTCAGAAAAGTATAAGAAAAGAGAAAAAAAGACGAAGAAAGAAAACGAGAAAAGATTTATAAAATGGGAGAAAAAGTAAAAAGAAATAAAATAAAATAAAAAAATGAAAAAAGAAAGAAAAGGAAAGGAAAATAGGAAAGAGAGCAAAAAAGAAAAAAAATTAAGGGAAAAGAATTCAGAAAGGAGAAAATAAAAAATTGAGAAATACGAAACGGAAGAACAGAAGCCAAAAAAGGGAAATAATAATGGAAAGGAAGATGAGGAAAAAACGTAAAGTAAAAAATACTTAAAAGAAGGAAAAAATAAAAAGAAGAAAAGAAAAGGCAATAAGAAAGAAAAAGAATAAGAAAAGACAAAGCAAAAAAATATCGAGAAATAAAGAAGGAAAACAAGAAAAGAAAATAATGAAATGGAAAAAAGCATAAAAAGTAAAGAAATGAAAAATACAAAGACAAGGAAAAAAGAAAGAAAACAATGAAAATAAAGAAGAGAAAAAAATAAAGAAAATAGAAAAAGTAATGGAGAAACAAAGAAAAAGGAAGAAAATAAATAATGGAAGAAGGATTAAAGAAAAGGAATAAAGAAAAGGGGAAAAATTAGGAAGAAATAAAATAAATAAAAGGATGGAAATAAAGAGAAAGAGAATTAAATAGAAAATAGGAATAGGAAATAAAAATAGAAATAGGAAAAAAGGGAAAGTAGAAAGAACAGGAAGAAAAGAAGGAAGAAAAGAAAAGGAAGAAAAAAGAAAAAAAAGAGAGCAAAAAGAAAATAATTTATGCGCTTTTGGAACTAAATCTTAATTTCAAAACAATATATCTTTTGTTTTCACAAGTGAAAATGAACAATTTATTTTCCATGCCCAACACATGAGGTCATGGATTGTATTCACAATGTGTTTCGAAGTAAAATGAATTTATCATTTCCTGCCTTTAAACCTGTATATATATAAGTTTGTATACTAGAAATGTCTGGGGAATGAGCCGGCAAACTGGATCGCGAACGACAAGTTAGATGACTCCTGATTCCAAAGCTCAGAGTAAGAGAGAGCCTGTCTATATATATATATATATATATATATATATATATATATATATATACATAGCTGACGCGATCAGGGCCCCTAATACCCCAAAAAACCCATTTCAAACCCTACGTTCGCTCGTAAAACTGTGCAACTCTCTTGCCGATGCAATGTACTTTTACCTATTTTCCCCCATACAAGTCTCTTTCTCTCTGATAAATATTCAAGCAAGAAAGAAGCAATGGGTGAGGGGTAAGGGGGGAGATGTATATAGCGTTCCCACGGGCGATCCATCGCAGATTTCCCGCCTCGATCGGAAAACCGATCCCCGAGACGGACATGCGATCACGTTCGTGCCTCTCTTTTCTCTATTTTTTTTTTTCTTTAACCCGATAAAAAAAAGTAGCTTGCCTTGGCTTCTTCATCTTATCATCATTATTACCTCTCAAGCTACCAAGCGTGTAAAGGACTATCTATAGAGCTTTGCTAGTGTGTTGCGTTCTTGTGTGGAATAAAGAAAAGCCGGGCCAATCAACTTGAGGGAAACGAGGGTACCGATAGTGCTACCGGATTTGCCCGCAATTTTTCGAAAAAAAATTTTTTTTTTTTTTTTTGCTGCCTTTCTCAAAATGAAAGGAAACCGAAAGAACGTGCCATTAGGCACGTTCTTTCGATTTCTTTTGTTTTGAGAACGAGGGACCTGAGAGTGTACCGGATTTACCCCGAATTTTTCGGAAAAAAAATTGTGTTGCTTCCTCTTAGAGGAAAGATTGTATTTTTTTTTTAAATTTCGGAGGAAATCTGTCGGTTCTTTTCGTTTCGAGAACGAAGGAACTTAGACTATACCGGATTTACCCCGAATTTTTCAAAAAAAAAAAAAAAAATTGTTTGCTTCCTCTTAGAGGAAAGACTGTATTTTTCTTGAAATTTTGGGGGAAATTAGTCGGTTTCTTTCGTTTCGAGAACGAAGGAACTAAGAGTGTACCGGATTTACCCCGAATTTTTCAAAAAATTTTTTTGCTTCCTGTTAGAGGAAAAATTATATTTCTCTAGAAATTTTGGGGAAAATCGATTCGATTCCTTTCGTTTCGAGAACGAGTGGAACTGATAGTGAACCGGATTTACCCATAAAAAAATTTTTTTACTATTAGAATTTTGGGGCAACTGAGGTTTGGCACTTACGGTGTTTTCCTCGATAAGACACGAATAGGTTTCTTTTTTTTTCGAGAAGAGGGTGGGTGGGGGGGGGGATAATGTTGAGAAGCCCGAGGGATAATATAGTAGGAAAAACGGTGCTTTGCGTGTTTTTTTTTCTTTTTTTTTGTGTATTGTCTTTGGAGACAGTAGTGTACCTGGTTGCCGTCGTAGGTCCAGGATCCGAACTTCATGTCACAGTGTTGGTCGTCAAAGGGGAACCAAGTGATGTCTATCTTGCATGTGCTCTTGAAGATGCCCGGAGGGACGTACAGGCAACTGCCGTTATGCGTGACCACCACGTTTGTTTGGAACGTCCCGTCGAAACCCTCATCCGCACTAACGTTTCATCATGTATATATGTATGTTTTTTGTGTTTTTTTTTTCTTTTTTTTCTTATTTTAATTTTAATACAACTTACACATATATACGTATTAAAAAAATGTATTATTTTTTTATTCTATCAACTCTTTTTGGATAAATTCTGACTTAATTTTCTATTAAGTTTTAAATTGAATTCTTTTTTAATTCTATTTTATTATATATTTTCATTTTTGACTAAACAAATTGTCAAAATTTTCGTATTTTATTAACAAGTCCAATTTTTATTATTTTGATTAACAGCGTTGATCGAATAGGAAAATTGTTGTTCATTTTTTATAATTGAAATCTGATTTCTTTTTATTGAAAATATTGCATTTTTAGATTATTGGTTTTCTATGACTTTTTTATTTCGAGTCCAAACCTTTGTCCTTTAATCAATTAAATTTATTTCAATTAAAATCTTTCAATATTCTTGAAAAATTCAATTTTAAATCAATTTATCAAATAAAAATTTCAATATTTATAAATTAATCTTTAATATCATGAAAAATTCTTTTTATGCAAAAAATGCTTTCAATTACTGATAATTTGAATAAAAATGTTCTATTTTAATTTAGAATTAGGAGTTATTTTTAAATATGTTCATGATCAGTATTTTGGCCATTTTTCCTTTTCGACCAACGCTGTCATAATTTTTCTCCAACGAGAAAAATTGCCTGTTTTCGAGAAATTAATATTATTAATTAAAAATTTTTCAAATAATTTATCAAGTCTGTAATTTTTGAGAAAGAATATTCGATATTAATAATTAGTTTATAACGATTTTATAAATAATACTATCAACGAATATAGTTTAAAAAGTAATTATTTAGCGAAACATTTTTAACGGTAGTGCTTTAAATTATTTACAGAAAATTTATTTATGTACATATATTTGTTTATTTTGTTAAGTGAAAAATTTATCATCCTTTTTTATTTTTCTTTGATTTTTAAATCAACGAATTAAAAATTCTTTTTTGGAAATCTATTTTTTGGTATTAATTTCAAATAAGTGAAATAAGCAATTAGTGATAAATTCAACATTCTAGTAGGTATAATTAGACAAGAGGCAATAAAGTGTGAAATAGAAATTTTCAAAGTGAAAATTCTACACGTGCTTTCTTTTTTTCATTTTTTATGGGGTGGAAAATTTGGCTCACTTGATATAGAATGCGGTCGATGGAAAAAAATGTCTTATAAAAATTAATTAATTAATTAATAATTATTAACTACTATTTTTATTAATATTTATTAATTATTATTAATTGTAACTTTTAATTAAAAATTAATTATTAAATTTCAAATAAAAATAATTAATAATTCATTATTATTTTGATAGTATTGTTATGGTTCCAAAAATAATTTTTAAATTACCATGAAAAATATTGTAGTGAAATTTTAAATTTGTGAAAAATTTTGTTTAGGTAAATTATATAAGTGAAATAGTAAAAATAATATAAAAAAAATTATTAAAAATAGTATTTATAATCATAGTGGTTGTTAAAAATGATGATCAGGATTTATTGATCAGTTATGAGTCATTTGAATCTAATGACTATCATTTGGCAAGTTTCCTTTGTTACACATGTGAATATGATTATAATGATAAAGGTTTGTAATATTCGCCAGAGATACGATTTCAATACATCTCGTTAAATATTCAAAATAAGCTCTCATTAAGTAATAAATATCAATCTGTACGAGTATTATAATGCTCGTCAAAGAATTGAACATTACATTAATTATGAATTACGTATTAACCTAAATTTTCCAAAATTCTCAAATTCCACTTTTCTGTATTTCTGCAATTCTCTTATTAGTATTTCTCCAATTCTCTTTTTCTGTATCAAAAAATAATTTCCGAAGAACAAATTTTCAAATAGACGATAATATATTTTTTACTGGAAAAGTTATAAATTAATAGAAAAGTTTTTTTTTCTACAGAAGCAATTTGTTACACAATTCAAATTTAGTCTTTTACAGAAATAATTTTTTTCTAATTTAATTAAAATTCCTCTTTTCTTTTATTACCAAGTATAAAAAGAAGTTAGAATGAACAAATTTTTACAGAAAACTGAAAATATTTTCCATTGCAAAAATTTGAATTTCAATTTAATTGATTTAATTTACATCTATAATGCGTTACAGAAATAAATTTTCTAACTTTGATTGAAATTTCTCTCTTCTGCTTTTCTATGAAACAAAGTTACCAAGAATAAATTTTTACATAAAAGTTTTAATTTTCCAATTAATTTTAATTTGAATTTATTTAATAGAAATATTTTTTTTCTACAAAAATAATTTTTTATTACTTAATTTAAATTTAGTCTTTTACTGAAATAAATTTTCTAGTTTGATTAAATTCCTCTTTGCCACATTATTAAAAAATAAAGTCACAAAGAACAAATTTTTACATAATAGTTAAAAAATTTTCCATTGCATAAATTTTAATTTTAATTTATTCAAATTTAATTTTTAATCTATCTGTCTTCGGAAATGATTTCAATTTAATTAATTTAATAGAAAATCTTTTTTTGCTTAGGAAATAGTTTTTTGTTACTTCATTAAAATTCTTCTTCTCTATTTCTATTGAAAAAAAATTACAAAAGTATAAATTTTTATGAAATTAAAAAAATTTCAAGTTATAAAATTTAAATTTAATGTAAAATATTTTTCTCCGACACAAATAATTTTTTCGAACTATAATCGTAAATATTTTTCAACTAAAGAAAACCAGAAGTCTACATTCTTTTTTTGATTTTGTTTTAATTTTCCCTTCTTCTTCTTCTTCTTCTTTTTTTGTATACAGTAAATACTTTAATTTAATGGACAGGAATTTTTTTTTTATTTCAAAAATACTGTAAAACAAAGGAAAAATGGCAACACTCGTTTCATTAAATTCAGTACTTCAGACTGTGACATTTGCGGTCCTTCAGGCTAACTAAATAAGTAATGCAGTCCTTGAGGGGTAACTTGGCAATTCTTTCTAACGAGACATTGTTTCTAAAAGAGATCAACTTGCTCCCATTTTTACAACACTTTTCCATATTTTAAAGAATATATATAAAACATATGTGTAAAAATAAATACACACTGAAAAAATAATGAAATTTATTTCAGGTGATCGATTACCTTTTGGCAATTCAACAAAATAAATATATTCATTTCAGTGAAATAAATTTTTCATTTGTGACAAATCAATTGTGTTAGATTTTCGAAAGTATAATTTTATTTCAAACAAATTTGATTTAAATTGACTCTAAATAAAATTCATTACATGTTTATAAATACAAAACAGGAATAAATATTTATTAAATGCTTATTAAATATTTAATAAATATTTATTAAATACTTCGTGAATAATAATTAAATATTTATTTGCGAATAAAAACTAGTAAAATTCTTTCATACATAAATTTATAATTAAATTTTTTTCATTAAAAAATAACACAGAAACTATTTTTAAAAATATTTACACAACATTTTTTTTATTTCGTAAAAATGAATATTTTTTTTTTGTAAAAATAAATATTTTACTATTTGTTCTGAATCTCATACTCAAAAGGTTTTATCATTTCCCCAGAAAAAAAAATTGTCTATCTTCTTTCTCGCAAAGAAAGCTTTTCAACTAAATGGAAAATAGAATTTTTTTTTTAGAAAATATTTATTACACATTTTATTTTTATTCCTTTATTTTTTTTCATGTTTCATTTAGAGGGCACCAGTTGGTGCAATTTATGAATTGTAAGAAACGCTTGTGTTGATTGTTCCCTACGAACAATGCCGATGCACAGTGCCATTGTTTTCATATACTTTTGGATAAATTCTGTTTTTAAGTGGGCTACATTTTCTGGTGCTATCCTCCACTCACTCAACAAGTGATTCAAAAGAAATCCCCCTTTTGTTTGACATAACGAAAGAAAAAAATGGTCCATTTTTTCTTTTTTGAAAAAAGTCTTCTTGAGTAATTATTACAGTTCCTTGAATTTCAAATGTTCCAACACTTTTAGAACAATATTTGCCTTTTATATATTAAAAAGAAGTTTTTAAGTTTGTTTTCTTTTTGCTTTTTGTCTCGCAATTATTTTTTTTACCTTTAAATGAAAAAATTTTCCTTTGTGATTAAAATTTATATTTTAATCGTTAATTTGTTTAATTTTTGAAACAAAAATGTTCATTTAATTCAATCGAATTCAATTAATCTTGTATTTTGATAATTTATTTTTGTAAATTGTAAAGATTTTTAAACGAATTTGTAAATATTTATAAGTATATAAAAAATGTAAAATTGTGAGGAATTATTTTTAGTGAGAAAAAAAATTTTTCTTTGGCAAATTAATAAAATATTTCCACTGACCTATAACAATAATGTGTTGGTTACTTTTAGCTGCGGTAAATTTAGATTTTGTGTCTACTAATTTTATCCATTCTTTTGAATACAAGATGCAGAAAATTAATGTCAGATTTGAATTTGAGACAACCTTTAAATCGTGTAAAAATTTCATCGAATCTTAAAATTAGTCTTCTTCTTTATTTTACTGAAATTATTTTTATAATTCGTTTTTTGCAACGAAAAAAATTATTTTGATTTTCTAAAATCAAGATTTATTTCTATTTAATATTTATTGACGTATAAATATTAAATGGGTGTTTATTTTGGAATAAATATTTATTAAAAAATTATTTACGTAGGTATTAAATATTTATTAAGTTTCTATTTGTGAATAAATATTTATGAAATATTTATGTACGTTTAAATATTTATTAAATATTCATGTACGTTTAAATATTCATTAAATATTTATCTACGAATAGTATTTAGTAAATATTTAAATACGACTAATATTCATTTTCGAATAAATATTTATTAAATATTTATTAACTAAAAAATATTATCATTTAATATTTAAATAAATATCTATTAATTATTTATTGGCTAACAAATATTTAATAAACAAAAATATTCATTAAAATAG